ATGGCGTCTGATCCTCTAGGAGAAGAGGTTCCTCTAATGGAAAGACGATTGGTCAAAGCGCCTATAAACAGACAGCAGATTTTTCATTATTGGCCGTCTCAGACGCCCACTCCTCACCAGCAGTTCTGTAAAGCTGTCGAATGTCCAAAGCGCACACAGAAACATCTCCAACAAGATGAACGTAAGCGGTTTGCTTCACTTGGATCAGGGTGCCTTGTCTTCTCAAGGGCAGGGCAGTCCGAGGTCAGCGGGGATGAGTTGGGAATGCATTGAGGGGAACCAAAGTTGGGGTAAGATGCGCAGACACCCAACACGTTTATTCTCTAGTCCAGTACTCACGGCTCCCTTTTGTCACCGAAACCAAAGTGTGCACGTTCCCCCTCTACAATCCCTTCTAGATGGAAGCCATATTTACACCAAAGAGGACTGACGGGGAAAATGGTCGACGATTGGACAAAGAAATAAATGCCTCCCTACAATACAGGTTGCCCTGTACTAAATTCCAGGCTGGGTACCTACTCCCATGTCCCAACTCTAACCCCAACCCTAACCCGAATTCTCGTGCAGACCCTCCTTACCCTGACACTAAACTTTCTAGCACCTACAGCCCTGGAGTTTAGCGCAAGGCCACCTGTAATACTGGGGTACTTATAGCCGTGCTGCACCCACTCAACGGATACTGCTTATGATTGAGCATGTCTGTAGACTCTCTTGGGAATTGGAAGAGGTACTGGGAATGCCGCCGCTCAGGTCTCGTGGTTACAATGCAAGTCATCTTTTTTTCTTGCAGCATGACAACATGCTACGGAGATGGTCATTTCATAGAGTTGGATAGCCTCCCGCTAATTTTCGCAGGCCCTTCATGAACCCGAACCCCAGTAAGCTTCGTTCGAGTGGTTTCCTCACGCAGGTGTAAGAGAAAGAGGGAGATCACAACGACTGTTTTGCCGAGATACTGGTACAAAAATGCGACAGAGAAAGGGCGCTTAAGGGGTAGGCTTCTGACTTTGTCCCAGGGACTAACAAGCAAACAAGAATATTCAAAAGTATCCGACAAGAACTATAGCTGAGCCGGTCTATCGTGCATGCGGCACCTCTCGAAGTTGAGAGAAAGTAGGGGAACACGTCATCGACAGAGACGCAGCAGAGCGTTTGTCTTCGTTGACGAAATCCACCACAACAAGTATAGCTCGGGCATCAGCATGTACTGAATTGCAGAGATTGAGGTTTGCGCAGCAGCGGCCCTGCTTCCCACCCCGAGTTCCAGAATCCTACACCGTCCAGATTGGATCAATTTGTCTGAAGATTAGAACAAGAACAGTGAGAGTGCGGGCCTTCTGTACCTATCCGACATCCATGCAGATTCTCCCACAAGACCAAACCGGGCATCTCTTGAGATGATATTCAGCCTCCGTAATTTGACTCTCAGGCTGCTAAATTAGGTAGCATGCCAGATGGAAACCTAGTAGGACTTTTAGGCTTTCCTATTAATTTGCAGGTGTACCCCTTGAAGTCGAATTAGGGGAGAGTCAGCCTCCTTCTCCTGCTTTCGTCTGCCATCGTGTTCCCGGAGAAGAACGCTTTAAGATCAGATTGAAGGTGATCATCCTTGTTGTTGGGCGGGCATTCGCTTCTCCCAGGTCGATTGTTCATCGCCAAGTTCAGGCAAATCGCGAGAGTCACAGCGGTGAGCTCATCCGAAAACCCGGTTGGGCCGTGGTTCGGCGTCTAACGCTGGATGTGGAGATTTGAGGAAAAGTTGGCTCAGTTGGACCAGGGAGTGCAAGTCCCCATCAACCTCTCCGACATACCAGTCAAGATTTTCGTGATCGCAGTCCATAGCTAGTGAAGCCGAATTGGACAGCGAGTAGCATTCACCAGGATGGTATGGTCCTTTGACTTGTGGCCTTTAATAAGTAATCAAGTTTCCAAATCAACGGCCGGCCGCGTCTGAAAGTAACGTCCCTACATGGTCCGCGTCCACTTGTCTGCCAGGCTTAAGGGTTTAAAGAGACATGTAAGGGTGATGAGACAGCTGTGTCAGGGTTTTTCATGCTTTCTTCCGATAAGAAGCAGCCCCCCTCCCAGAAGTCCGATCCACCTAGGTCATTACACGGCTGGTCACTTTTCGGACAGAGAAGGGACCGTCTGTCTGTAATCCCTGTCTCTAATTTTCCTCCCGATGACCAGACTGGTTGATGCACATCTATTTTCTTTGTATGTTATTTTCGTGCAACTGGAGGCGCTCATAGGGTCAGAGGAGAATGGTAATGAAATGCCCGTTTCTGGCTTATTCGTTCCCTTCAGTCTCAGTGTCCTTCACCCAGGTCGTGAGTAATTGCGGTTTGAGCCTGAGTCCAGCTGGTCAGACTTGAACATGTTCGACCGACTGAATTAAAAGTGCGCAGAAGCGGCGTTTTCGCTAACCTGTTTTAATTACAGTATGGAAACGGCCTGTTTGACTATCGTTAATATTCTAGAATTGGTCAGTTTTACTAAGAACTACATTCCATGATGGCTTGCCTGCAACGGCTCCAGAGGAGGGCGTATAGGCGAAACAACGGGCAGGCATAGCACCCCGCTAAATACCATTCTCAGGTGACTTTCTTCAGGGACTACTTTAGGGAAACCGCACGCATAGTTAAGGCAGGCCCGGATGTTCATTTAATTTGGCCAGTTTTTTTGGAAGCAACTACGCCCTCATTGGTGTCATAAACGATTTTTTCACTATGTTTTACCCAGATTACCGAGATGTAGGCGTTTTATATGCGGCCTGTAGACTGTAGTGTTCGCACATTACCGTAAAAGTCTCCGTTCTTTCAATTGCATAGGCTTATGGTAGACAGGCCCAAATCCTTAAAAGGTAGAACTCCAGCTCGGATTATAAGAAATCTCCTAGGATTCCCAAAGATGGGCAAGATAATTCATTAGTATTGCATGAGAAGGAACTTCCTTTATAAATGTGATCGACAGAGTTTCACTGAGACCTTTGTCTTCAGGGTCTATCGTACTCGTAGGCTGAATATTTGCTGGAATGCGAACAGTTCTGACATTATCACACTTGACAACGAGAAACTGGACATGGAAATTGTAAAGCATCAATTCCAAAATTAGCGATACTCAATGCTTGGGAACTATGTTTTAAAAGAAAGTGTCCCCAGTTGTTATAGGCTGAGGCCAGAAATAACTGGCTCCCTCCAGACGATTTAAATTTATTTTTTGTTCACATTTATGGGTCGTTTTTCATCTAACCTAATGTTGTAGAGCATTGACTGTCACTAACGCGAGCTCAATGGAGGGACTTCTAGACGAGAAACCTTGAGACAATAGATTATGTGCTGTGGATTTCTGCTCACGGGAGACGGAAGATTCCCCGTCTGTTAGCGATGTGAAAAACCGACAACGGTATCCGGTCAGTATTAAGTAAGCCTCAAATAGGTCATGTTGTACCCGTATCTGACCTCCCATATCCCTCTTTCGTCTTTTAAATGAACACAGTCATGAAAAATGAAGGGTCCTACCATTCGGTCTGAGCTCCAAAATTGCGTACTTTCTATGGTATTTCTTCCTCTCTTTGGACAGCTGGCCAAATCATCCCAAACAGAGGCGCTTACCTACAGCTTTGGTACTTATTTCCTTATTTCTCCCTCGGAGTAGAGCACTGAAAGCTCGCCTTCGGAAGACCTGCGTGATATCCGTTTTAAACTTTACTCACACTTAAGTTTTCTACTGTTTTCCCATCGATTCTAGCAGAAGGTTCTATCGCATAAATGTCTTGAAAGCCTATTTACAAAGCATTTGTTCTCGCCACCTTTCACAGACACAGTATGCAAGATGTTCCCAGTATTTTATGAAATAGACGGTAATTCTGCACACTTTCAACCTACAGAGGAAGTTGTCTTTCGGATTCATTTAAACGTAGGGGGTTTCACTTTTCTTAAAATAATCGTGTGAACACTTTTTTTGCTTTGAATTGAAGGGTACATTAATCGAACACATTTTTGACTCGGTCTTTATACTTCCCTTATTTTTGTTTATCTTAACCGTATTATTGACGATTTTAAATATCGGGTGACATATGCCAGGCTGCTTTAAAAGGTAGAGACTGGTCTTCAAACACGAGCCTTACCTGCGAAGCGCCTTCGGTGGAATTTAATGGACTACACTTTCCGTGTTAAGAACAACACTATCTACGCATATAACTTTAAAAAATTGACAAATTTCCATGTTCGTTTACGTAATCTACCTACGCTCCTGTGGGTCTTATATTATTTTAACTGGGTTCATGTCAAGGTTTTCTGAACATCGGATTTTCAGCCCAGAGAACTTTTTGTCAACAAACGAAGCTAAATTAGTCCTTACTTGGTACAACCATGATTTTATGTGCTTTGCAGAAAACGGCCTTCTGCTGTTATGTAGTAGATTTTCCAATATCAAGTGGTTGTACCGGCCACTAGAAACCAGTGATTAATCACTGGCCTTCTTAATTTACTAGCATTATTTGTGAAACAGGACATATTATTGTTTGCCTTTTGAACAACGCATGATGAATGTTTTTTGTTTAACTGATCTGTTCACAAATGCTTACTAGTTGCCTTGAAACTAAGTGAAAAAGTCCAGTACGGTATTGTTTTCCTAAATGAGCCCCAAACCCGGAAAGTTGAATTATGGACGGCTAAAATATTAAAAATGTGCTGGTGTTCGCATCCATCTGAAGAGCCACTTATAGGCTGGATTCTAATGTATAAGAATGCTAACTAGTCAAATTTCCATAGTTTCCCTGTTTGCTGTTGCATACACAGGAAATCGAAATAATAAAGAAGCTCTTTTATTTAAATAAAAGACCTGGTTTAAAAAATGCAAAATTAATGCTTGATCAGGAATAGGGAAAACCATCTGGAACGATACTCCTTCGTCCTTTATAAAGCAAAAAACAGCCAGCCCCCGATAGGAGCTTTTATAAAAAAGAGCGTGAAATAAGTTCTAAAAGAGCTGAGCTTTTAATACAAGGCTGAACTCCAAATCATCTGCATGAACTCTTCCTCGTCAACAACCCCGTCACCATTGCGGTCCGCTTTCTCGATCATTTCCTTTAAAGAACAAGGGGGGGGGGTGTATCTGCATTAGCAAAAAATGGCGACTGTCATCAGACGAAATAACAATTCTGGTGTTGGGGAGAAGATAAGGAGGGGATAAATTGTGGGATAAAAACCATGTTCGTCATCGTCATAGCCAATGTTGCCGTTTTCGCTCTCATGTACCTGTAATCAGGGCCACTTTAAAGGAATCTGATCTGGTAGACAAATGAAACAGCCATTTGAAACAACTTGGCTGTGGAGAACATATAATCTTGTCGACACGAGCGGCGCGCATGGGAGTAGTGTCCATATTGCTACGAAAGGCTATCTTTCCTCTTATGAGATTCAGAAAGATGGCTGAACTGCTGGTTACTATGCCAACGCCGACGTGGGCTGCAGGCCGGAGTCCTGGAGCAAAACCGCAGCCGCTATGTCCTGCTCTGCTGTCAGGGCAGCCCAGCGAGCGTCGTCGTCGCTCCCACCCCACTTAGGATATAAAAAATGCAACTTCAGCAATTGGCTTTCTTCTGGGTGTACAGTAGGTTGGCTAAATCATGAAATGTCAACCGAAATTCCTAAATGCGTTTTCGTTTCGAAAACATTAATTAGGTAGGGTTGTAAAAATAACCATCGAGCAGCATAATTCTATAAGATATCAGTTGCCTCATGATGCCGGCTTTCGAATGGACTTCTTTTCGGCTGCATGCAAAAACTATACTTCGTAAAAATGACTACTTAAGTAGCATGAATTTTTCTCATTGATTTTCGATGCACCTAAATGTTCAATTGTATTTCATGGACAACATGTATAAAATATTCATTCTTCTATTCTTTCGGTACGCAATTACGTCTTCTTTTAATTTTATACTCGAAGGAGGGAAATAATTCGGTTTTAAAAAATTTCTAATTGTGGGACTTTTAAATACCATGAAATGGCTGTTCATAAATCGCAATGTCTCTGCATTTACCAATGTGGCCTGTAAATTTAATAATATGGATCAAATCCACTGCCTAAATTTTATGAACCCTATATGGCCCGCCTTTACTACCGCAGAGAAATGTGTGGTTTTCCGTACGCGGAAAATATACGGCTTGCAGTTTGGAAACCCTGAATCGAAGTGTAGCAGTAGAGCGGGTTCAAAATTATTCGTGACTTAAAAAGTTTTTGAAAACCGAATTATACCCTTCCTTCGAGTAAAATTATAAGAAAACGTAATTATCTACCGAATGCGCAAAAGAATGAATATTTTTATGTATGTTTTCCAAGAAATACAATTTGCCTTTCAGGGGCATCGAAAATTAATGGGAAAAATTCATGCTACACAAGTAGTCATTTTTTACAGAGGGAAGGTTTTGCATACAGCCGATAAGAAGTCCATTCAAAAGCACGCATCATGAGGTAACTGAAATATTATAAAATTAGGTTGCAGGCTGACTAGTTTTACAACCCCTCTTAATTAATTTTTTCGAAACGAAAACGCACTTCGGAATTTCGGCTGACATTTCATGAGTTTGCCCACCTACTGTACCTAACGACTTGCGTACAGTGGGCTGTATGCTTAACACTCAGAAAAGTTCTTTGAATTACAAATTCTATAGCGAATATGAATGAAGTGAAAAAGTCGAAATGTGACTGACGCAAAAATAAACAAAAAATCAATTTGGATGGGAAGATGTATATATAAGAACAGTTATTTGTGGTTAGTGATATTTGCTAAAAAGTTTACTAACTGATTTCAACCAGGCTGGGGGCAGTGCTTTTCAAAATCAGACACCTAACGGCATGGAGAAACGAAATTCAAAGGAACCAGTTGAGCCCTTACCTGCAAGTCCTCATCGTGGAGGTCTTCATCCAAGGTTTTGCTGACCTTTCTGAGGTCCTGGAATGTGATGTAGCCGCGGTCTTTGATGTCAAATAGGCGAAAAGCTCTCACGAGGTCCTCCTTAGCATCTTCCTCCAGCATTTTGTTCGACAGTAGCGTAAGGAACCCGCTAAAGTCAATCGTACCTTAAAAGTGCGAGACAAACCAGTAAGATCAACAAAGGGTAATAAAGTGAATCTGGATTGCGACTGAGAGCTCAAGACTGTCACTTCAAAACGGCTATTTGACAGATTCTCCGAATGTTCCTAAAGAGCATACTAAATAGAGAAAATTGCTTAATTTGTCAAACAGCATTCCCCGTTCAGGATATAAATAAAAGAGACACGGCTATTCTTTCTGAATAGAATTTGACACCCTTTTATCAGCAAAATCGATAGGATCTAAGCAGGAGGTCGTGTAATTCCGCAGAATGCATTACTTGGAGACGTTAATATGGGTACCGTCTGCCTGACTACCACATGTTTTGCAGAACAAAATGAATAGACAACTGCAGACGTGTGCATCACTACCAGAGAGAAGGGGGAATCTATCGACGATTGTGAAACACTGCATTGCATTAACACAGCTTTGACTTAGTTTATGCGGAAACCATGGGAGACCGAATAATCACACAACCTGAGAAACATGTGAACCCATGTACACGGGTTCGGAGAAGTGCCGCGAAGACTGAGCGAAAGGACGTGGTTAATGCCGGTGCTACCGACAGCAAGGATCCAGACAGGACTGCTATCAGCTAGCTGAATACAGATTAAGGTGTATCTGGGACTCCATATCTAAATGCAACTACTGTTCCCGGCAGCGGTGTCAAACAACTCGATCGAATGACAGCCTGATTGAGTATCTGCACTAGAAAACAAACCTGTAATGGACTGTGCTGTATGTGGGGGGAGGAGGGGGGGGGGATTTCCTGCAGTTGAACTTACGCTGCGCTTATCGCTCATGTCTAGAGGCAAACGCGTTAGACCCACGCGACGACCTTACTGTGATGCCATCGCCAAGTGAAGCTTCCGCATGGGTGTAATTCTAAAGAAGAGTATACAATTCCCCGAACAGTCGCCGGAATTGTCTGGGCTTTTGTGCCCGCGCAGGAGCTCAGAACCACAGTCAACAAAGTTAAAATAACAAATAAGCAGCCTTTCGCAGTCCCTCCCAACATGTTCACTGCGTATTTTCTCACCTGGAGGTGCGGTCGCAAAATCCAGCAGTGCGCTCGATGGGCGTGAATATCCTACTCGAACGTAGATATGACGCTTTCGCTCTGTCTTCTAGTGTCTTCGCCATTATCTGTGTGCACACGACGCTGAATTTCCTGCCTTATTCCGGAGCGCCAGCAGCGATCGGGGTCAGCAGATCGGCATTCAGAACCGTCCGCCCATTGTCCCTTCTTAGTCAGCTGAGTTCTCGCGAGGTCTGAGAACTGATGAATTATACCAAACTGCTCATTTGCGTTTAGTTGCTCCTGTACTGGACGACCCTAACTATTAAGGCGTAAATATTTAAGTCAAAAATGGACGCGGCCGTAACCCTAGCCTAAGTTTTATACCCTGAGGCTAATCTTAGCCCACTAACCCTAATCCTTAAACTCCAACCTTAACCCTAAAGCTTTAACCCTAAACTAGAACCCCAATACCAGTCCCAGCCTGGTAACACTAGCTCTAAAAATAGCCCCAAATCCAACACTAATCCTAACCTTAAACGTAGCCCTAATCCTAACTTTGAGCCTTATATGGGCACCCTTAAAGCCGTTGACGCTAGTGAAGATGAGAATCCGCGCACCGCATAACCCCCTTCGCCACCGATTGTCAGGCAAACCGTTATGAACCACATCTGCCAAATCAGACGAGAAGGTGAATTTTTGAACAACCATCCAGGGGGGGTTACATACCCTATCCTTACCTCTGATTGTTTCCTTTCATTGATAATTCATCGCATGCAATCAAGGGTTCCAGACTTCTTTCTAATAAGACAGCTTATACGCTTTTATAACCAAAATGTTCTGGCAAAGAAAGAAATTTAAATTCACAGCTCGAAGTGTAACTACAAGTAGATTTCAACGTTATTTTTTATATACCAGTAAATAAGCCAGGTAGAAAACAATGGGCGAACCTGGGGTCTAACCTTTCTTATCCGGATCATATTTTGAGCAAAGAGCGCGCAGTTCATCCCGGGATGGATGGAAACCCAGTGCCCTCAGGGGAAGCTGAATATCTGCGATATCAATGGAGCCTTTGCCCTTGACGTCCATCAAATCAAAGGCTTGTCGCAGCTCTTGCCTCTGTTTCCTGCTGAATTCTATTTTTATGCGAGTAACAGGGTTACTGTCAGGCAACGCGTCTTGCCTCGATGGCGCTTTCCGACCACTTCTGGACGAACTTCTGTGCATCTGCAAATGAGCATGCAGACCTGGTTTTCGTGAACCATGCCTTTTACGCAAATTTCCGATCATGTTTACGCGTCCTATTTTTTGTATTACTCGGCAATTCGATCAACGTGTTTCAAACTAATTTGGACTATAGGTCACAGCTAAAGCGGAATCTTCAGTGAAAGTACAATAGCAGTGGGTATTCGGGGCTGTTTGTTTACGATTTTCGGCCATTTTTTAGGTCATCGAGTACTGTATGTCTTTTTTATATCGGAAAAAATTTGATTCTTTAATAATTCAAGCAATTGAGGGGCGCTTTTTAATCCTCACTTGTGTTGATTGCGTATCACATGATATACCAAAGCTACCGGAGGCAAAGCTTTATGTTCGTTACCAATCCAAATCGTTCAGCTGTACATTTTGTGTCAGGATAGAGCATATCTCCGAAAGTTCGCGGTCGGTGTTAATAAATCGATGTCAATTGCGCAAATCTACACCAACAACCCAAAAAAGAGAGTGATGTGGGAACTGGGAAAGTCATGGAGGATAGGATAAAAGGACAAAAACCATATCGATTCTGTGGTAGGAGTAACTATGTGGATTACTGTGTTGTTTGGTTCAACGGCGTCAATTGGATGCACTGCTCTTTCGGTGAGAAATCGCAAACCGGTAATTCTCAGTGACTCGAATGAGTTTCACTCCCTATTAGATTTGTGCATGGGGAAATTGAAATAATTCAACAAAGATTTATGTTTTATCATCCGTGGTAGATGAAAGATTTGAAGTTTCGCCTTATTTAGGATGGATGACAATTTACTGCGGCATCTTGAGATGACGGAAAATGAGGTGCTTAAATGAGAAAAAGACTATACATATTTGAAAAAAATGCTGTTTTAAGACAGACGTCAATCTTTAGGCATTAACTCCTCCCCGTGTCGAAACTCTTTTTTAATAAATTTCGCTAACTTATTTATTGCCTTTGACGTCTACGTACCCATCCTAGCCCTCAGCTTTTAATCTAACAACTTGTAGCTGCCTGAATCCTACCTTTCATTCTTCGGTGTCCTCCTCTTATTTTGCCTTAAAAAGGACGTGCTCATTTTAAGACTTGTTCGCACACGCCTTCTTCTACTGTGCTAGCCCAGGAAATGCTAACCGGAATTCTGAAATGGGACCTCGATTTGAAAAGACTGTTGCACAGCATAATCATAAGATGTTTCAGTCACGTAAGGATGCTGGCTTTCGGATGAGCTCTTTTTGGTCGCTTGCCAAAGCTGCACTCCATAGAAAATGACTGCTTAATTATCATGCATTATCCCATCGATTTTAATGCCCCTATGCATTTGAATATGTATCGTGAAAGATGGGCGAAAGATATTTTTTCTTGAGCACATTTGGTAGCAAATTATACTTTCAAATTTTATAACCGAAGAAAGGTTATCGTCGATTTCAAACTAGTTCCTAATTATGAATATTTTGAAACCGTGAAACGTCTACCCATAATGCACTGTATTAATCTTTTTAATAATGCTGTTGATGAAGACACAACCGGATTCATATCCGCTGCAAAGTTTTACGAGACCTATCCGACGTCGTCTTAACAACATATATAAATATGCGCTTTTCCTTACAGGGAGGACTTACAACTTGTAGTTAGGACAACTTGAATAAAAGTGCGATGGTAAGCCAGGTTCGAAACTGTTCAAGTTTTTTCAGAATTGAAAGGTGCGTCTTCTTCAAGTACGCAGCTTTAAGAATAAGTAATTTGCTATCGAGAGAGCACAACAGAAAACATTTCCTGCATGTTTCCTATGAAATATAATAGAATGACGTTGGCAGCTAATGGGAGAATGCGTACTACTTGAGTAGTCATGTTTTACGAGGTGTAGTTTTTGCAAGCAGCCGGATAGAGGCTCGTTCAGAAGCCCAACATGTCTCTCACCTGGTCAAGTCTATTTCAGTCTGCAGGCAGGAACCGATAAAACCGAAGTACGTAAGAGCGGTGGATGTGAGCGAAGTTGGCCACTGCTTTTTGATTCAATGCAAATCGTTTTGACGCAAGTCCGACACTAGATCAAAGTGGGATTAGGCCAAGGGAACAGGATTGTTGCTATGAAAGTTTTCGGTTGCAATCTAGGTATCACGTAAGACGTCTTTGTCAATCATTCGACCTTGGTTCTAGCACCATTAATCCCTCTCATCCCTGACTATACAAATCCTGCAGAGTGCGACACGCATTCCATTAAACATGGCGGACCAAAGTGAGTTTGGGGAGCCGTCTGGGTTTCAGTGCAGTCTTGCTCAGATAAGTACCATTTACCCACGCATGTCACAGGAGCTGGAAAATGTACCTCAAACTCTAGTGACGCACTATCCGTACCCAGCTAATTACGGTTGTTGGAGATCACAAAGACGTCCGAGAGTGTCTATACAGAGTGGCTCCCCTCATGCTGAAAACCTGGAGCGTCCACTAAGAGGAACTGCTCCCATTATCCGAGATATTACCTGATGTAACATGGATATCACTGTTTCCGAAGGCGCCTGCTTTTGTCAGAATAGGAACGGTCGAGCAAAGTTAATGCAGAATAAATTTTCTTCTGGAGCAGCCGCCGTAAGGAAAAACGAAATGGTCTTAAGGTCTTCTTCGTCATCTCAGAATGACTTTTAAGAAATGCGTCTTTTTTATGAGATCATCAACTGAATCATTCCAGAGAGGCCACTAATTTGCAACAAATAGTCGCTCACCCTCGTGGATGTTTACACTCTGAAAATAGCCAACTGCGATGATACGAAAAGTAGTGAAGGATGACTTATTCTCCCCTTTTAAATCTACGTTAGGAATTGGCAAGCAGCGAGAATGTGCAGCTTACTCTCCAAAAAACTCTAGCAAGTACTCAAAGTAAAGAAGAAACTCAGAAAAAACCAGTCCTGTCGATAATTGAGACATAAACCAGGAAGTTGAGAAAATGAGGTGAAGCTCCAAGAGAAGGGTAATCGAGGAATACGTAACCGTTAAGACGGTCCGCGATGGGCGTCAAAAATGAACTTTGTCAATGCTTGGATCAGACGAAACAACGCTGCCGTCGCAGAAAATTCAAATACCGGAGTGTCGACTCAAGCGTTTTCGGAACTTTTGCAAGTCATGGTTAACAATCACCAGAACCCACACATTTTAATCCCGAAGTCTGCAGAAACAAGCCAACTACTTACAAGGAAGAACAATTCAAAGCGCTGATGCAATGCCGACGGAAATCTGCAAGCAAAGCAAAGTTTAATGCTGGAAAGGACAACCAATTCTTTTCGAAGATGTAGAATAAGAGAAGTATTTTACGAAACTTATAAGGCATCTGAATTTTTCAAGAAATGAGAAAACTGACGTGTCTGATATCATTATCAAAAACACTCCGACCAGCATCACTGAAAATAAGCTGCCGAATATCCCAGTAGACTGTCTGATCTTAAACTAGTACGCTGATTTCTACCGAAGACGAGGTCTGGGGTTCACATATACCACGAAACCACTCGAATTGCTTTATGACTCCTAAACAATATAGTGAAATCTAAATGTCCTACATACCGACTTCAACAAATGGGCAAAGTCTTTGGATATTCTGGGCCAATGCAGAATTTCGGAGTTGCTCATGATCAAAAAGGTGCATATATATGTCCCAACAATTTAAAGGTGGCGTACAAGTTTGCATTATCGACAACAAATCGATCTTAGGTAACACAGTTGTAAATGATGTGATAAAATATGGCTTTTAAACTTCGAAATAATTCTCTGCGCCTTGTTTTCTGACCTTAGGTGAACAGTTGGTTAGATAAATTTCCCCAATAGAAGTAGTATGTACAACCGATGAAACTCTCCTTGATGGTCAAAAAATGTGCGCTTATAATAAACTATGTGACAACAAGGTATTAGAGTGTGCGGTTGCCAAGGTCTGTACACTAACTATCGCGCATAAAATAGATATGCAGTGGATCAAGGGCCTCTTCGATTTTGGATTCGCAAACAACTGATAAATCATCACCATAAGTAAAACAGATAACACACAGGTTAGCCATCTGTTGAACATACTGACCTATGCTTTCTACGACGGTTGCCGTGATGAAGTCTTAGCAATCACAATTTCGTGAAACATTGAAAACACTGACGCAACAGCAGCCTGAATATTCAAATTTAGGTAGGTCCTCAAAAGACAAAGTATCTCTTTTAAATAAAAATGGAACTATGACACTGGGAAGGTTGTTATTTAAAGCGAAACCACGGAGGAAATACAGATGCTCATCAATTAAACCAAACTAATTCTATCTTAGCTATCATTGGAAAGTACAAAGACGAGGCGCAATGTATGGAAAAAGGATACTGACGTCAAGTAAGTGACTCACAAGCATAGATTGTGAAAACAAATATAAAAATGGATCACTGTGTATATGTTGAGCGGAAGCATTTCAAAGCAATTATTATACGATGTTACTACCCAAGAATTAAAAAAAACGGCATAAAGACACCAAAGGTCTTTACTCAAAAAGTTATAGGTCAATGAGAACTCGTTGTAGGTGCTCATATGTCTGAGCAAGATAAGATGTGTTGTCTCTATAAATTAACTGTGTCATTCCGGGCCAACTGCACGCGACAAGTCAAGGAAAAACGACATAAACTATTGGTTGCGTCAACGATCAACCGTTTAACGGTCGTCAGTATCGTTAAGGCAATCTTTGAGCTTGCATTAATTCTGAGAGATATGATCAACTCCACCTGCAGCTTAGTTTTCTATGCAAGTATCTGCACCTAATACAAGAATAAATCAAATACTTTCCATAACTAACCAACAAAAATCCGATGACGCAGACTATCGCCCATTACGACGGGTGAAGTGAACAATATACAACGCTGACGAGCGTGTAAAGCACACCAAAGGTTTCATATAAGAACAACCAAAACGTACTTAGGTAGAAGTGAAGTGAGAACATCCTACTTTTCAAATGCTACTTTATGTTTGTTTACAACCCAACAGTTGTTATGCGCGGTCAGTTAAACTAAGATCCGTGGGTATTCTATTTTGCACGTTAAATCTTTTAATTATAAACAAAGAAGAAGATCCCACAAAAGTAATTTCAGATTTATAGGTTATCCTGATTAAACGTCTTGAGAATTACATGTCGTTGCATATTCACTAAATGCTACATACAGAAAACACACAATAGAGCGTTAGGGAGAAAGGGAAAATGATAAAGATAAGTTCGAAGGATTTGGGGTCAGAGTGGGTACTGATGTAGGAAAACCACTACAAGCCTACTGTATGCCCTGCCAGCACCAACCCCCTCTGGTCCCATTTTCGTCTCCTGTGGCGTATTCCAACATGTTAATAACCTTTAGATGTCAATATTGCGGACTAAATAGAGATTTAATCAACAAACCTATCTAGATAAATCGATATCTACTAGATATCTACTTGAAGTAGTTTGCTACTATAGTGGTTTGCTAGCAAACAACGTCAGGTAGATAGAAAAGTTAAGCACAAGTTAGCAAACCTATCGAAAAGACTCTTCTCTCGTATATCAAACGGCATTACCCTAAAAATTTCTAGGTGGCATAAACGCAGCGGTATTTCGCCCTCATAAAGGAATTTTTGTCGCGGATACTCGTGCGTATATGCACAGCAAATAAACCTAGCAATTTATTTGGATGTGCCCAGTGACATTTTTCTCATACGTCAATACTTAAAACGCATGCCAAATGCGGTTTATGCCTTCAAAATTCTTCTAATCGTCTTATAAATCAAAAATGGCTTTTTTCTAACGCTTGTGAATATTTATAAACCTGCCTGAAATTTTCGATAATTATAAATCAGCGCTGATTACCGTAACCAAATGTTGGCGTGTCTAAACAACCTGAAGGTTATACGGGATGTAAACGAAAAGTCTTAAATCCAACAGTTCACATGTAGATAGGCTGGCAAATACACACTAGGGCAACTTACGTCAGAGATAAGTAAATGTGTTGAGGCCATTCAAAGCAGGACGCAGCAGGCAGCGGAGCGAAATACGACTACTTAAATCAATCGGGGTTAAAACGTACAGTTTATCGTCGGACAGAAGCCTCCTGAATATTTTTTGGACTCCTGACTAGAATGAGTAAGTGTATGAAGGCATAATGAAATGCGGGACGTTCTTTAGAAATCATAAAGAGGGTGGTAAGCAAAGGTGGGAACCCAAAGAGAAGAGGCACACATTTGTGAAGTAGAATAAAATGTGCCGAAGTCGACTGAAAACGACGCGCGACGATCATGGCAAAACAAAAGTAGAATGAAATTGTTAAAAGAACGCGTATGGTTCAGGAGGTTGAAAAAATGGATAAATTTACTTGTAAAGACGATGCCGAGGTACCCATGAGAACAGAACAGTGAGTTAATAGGTTCTGGTGTGAACTTTGTGACAACGTACAGCTCATGGTTCGGAACAAATAGTTCTTTAGTTCTACGCTCATCATTGACGCTGTAGACAGGTGTTCTCCCAAAAGCGATCAAAGCGTCTTATAACGATTAGAATGTGGAGACAACAAAAACTTTTCAGGTGACCTACTCCGACTAAAACATCTGTCTAACTCGTTTTGCGTAAACAGCCAAATCCTGTATAGTTGCTGGATTCTTCACTAAATGCCATTGTCAAAAATCGCGCCGAATTTGAAGAGATGAGAGGAAGATGTTGAAAAAGTTTTCGGAGTTTGCAAAAAATGAGGGCCAACCCGCAGCAAAGTCCTTTCTTCCCGACAGACTTCCTAACGGATTCCTATGCCAGTAATGCAGGAGACACCGGAGGACAAATTGACGAAGGCCGCAAAAGGGGTTCAAAAGTAACTTTAGTAAGTGGCGTTCACACTAACGCAAAAAGCACGATTGATCAGAATATACTTATATCTGGTGTCGGAGCCCTATCAACAAAGCAAAGCATCAAAGTACCAAGTAGACGTTACGACTGGAAACGCGGCAGTTATAAAGGAGGCTTCTAAGTTCAGCTCATCGATAGCAAAGGAAAAAGTCAAAAGCGACCTCAACCTCTTTGGGGTACATCTGGATGCTGTTCTCCAGGATGAAGAATACGTTACCATGCATAAAGCTTTGGATGTAGGAATCTCTGGTGCACCGCGTGGGCTGTAATTCCGAAGGCCACTTAAAATTACTCTTAAAAATGGAGTTCAGGTTTCTTGCCTCCTAGAATGAAGAATGGTTCTTCGTCTTTTGCATAAAGAAGTGTTTATTCGGCCGGATAACAAGTCGATGGAAAGATGCAAAATGAGTGAACTCTGGACAGAGCCGAATGGGACAGAAGAGGGCGGAAATGGTTAAAAATACGGGAAGGAAAAAATAACGCAGATCGGTCTGCTGTTGCTGTGGTCGACGCCTTTCACAATCGGGGCTGGTCTCGACCGAGGGTACAAACACCAACAGTAGTAAACTCAAATGCAGATAACCTGTTAAAGCAAATTAAGGAGTTCGGGATTTCTGTCGCAAGCACACACCAAGCGTCCTCTCCTCGACAGAAACATCGCTTTCTGAAAGTATTTCAGGACATAACCTATCCCTCAGAGATCACCAACAGTTTAGAGGAGACAGAAAAAGCCGAGGAGGGATCATTGCTCATGTTAACTGTAATTTAATCTGAGTTTCCTCGAAACATCTTACTACGTCGGGAGTGGAATTTTGATTTTAAATTATCTCTTTAAGTACGCCTGGCTACTGGCGCTCGCAGTTACATACCGTCTCCAAGTTACTTTGTCCAATGCAATGGCCGTCACTGAGGGGACTGAACAAGACCTCTCCGAATGAGGACGTCCTTATTGTTGGGGACTTTAAGGCTCAAAATATCGACTGGCAGGCTTGGATTATTTAAGGTCCTTTGGATGTATTCGGTAATCACTTACTGGAAATGGCCGCAGAAAAACTACTTTCCCAGAATGTAACTCCCACAAAACGTGTCACAGAAGGTTAACATTTAAGTCGCCTAGATCAGGTGTCCCCTCAGCATGAGAGGAAATTCTGAATCTTCAAGTTTGTCCGCCAATGGATGCTCGTGAGTACATCATACAATCGTCGAGCATTTCATATTCCCGCAATTTGGCTCACCTAAGGCATTCAGAAAAAAAACATCTCGGAGAGAGCTTCTTCCAACCTGTGAATACAAGTCTCACCGATATCGTCGAAACCCACTGCTCCGATTGAAGCTTGATAAATCACCTAATCCAGACTGAATTCATCCACACGATCTTTGGGAATCGGCTGACTTACTGTACAAACCGGCGCCAATGATATTCCAAGTGTCCATGGAAGAAGGCGAACTGTCAGGATATGGAAAACTGCCTACGAAGGAGAGTCCAGCTGAAGTACAAAAACTACAGTTGAATCAATTCAACCTACATTTTGTGCGAAGTCATGAAGCAACATATTAAGAACATTTAGTACTGCGTCTGGAGAAGAGGAACCTATTATATACTGCTCAGCTCGGCTTTTGCAATGGTTATTCATATTTTATGAGTGGCTGCACTCGTAGAAAAATTGGTCAAAAGCTATGGACCAGGGCTGTCCAATAGATGCCAATTTTTCGGTTCCGAGAAGGCGCCTAATAACGCAAAAGATGTGGCCGTGTGGAATCCAAGAAAGATTCTCAATTGATTAGATTTTTCCCCCATTCAGGCTCCAAAAGCAACTGCTGGCAATACGGCCTCCGAATGGCTATTAGTAGGAAGCGGCACGCCATTTGTTCCTTTCTGGGTTCTCTCTGCATTCTCATCTATGTGCACGATTGTAGTGAACTTGTTGGCTACAACTCCATCATGTTTGCGAATGATATTTAAACCTGGAGAACAGTAAGCTGTGTTGAATAAGCGAAGAAACTACAACAAAGTTCATAAACTAGCTGCAGGGTCCACCAAGTGGTTTCTAATTTTTAATGTGCCCAAATGTGTGCTGTTATGCTTGAGAACTGGTCGGAGACATTTCCCACTATAGCAGTATACTGTAAATGAGATTCCACTAAAAGAAGTGGATACGCACAAAGACATAGGTGTCTACACAAGTTTCAACTTGTCACCTAAAAACAGCGAAAGAGCGGTCCAAAAGGAAACGAAAATCATGCAGTGGATTGAGGATGCTTTCATTGACTTTCCTACCGAACTGTCCGCTCGAATCTCTGATGCCTTCGTTAGACCGCATTTAGAGTGCGGAATGCCGGATTAGGTGCCCCGAATAAAGAAAGACAGTGACCCAATCGAGCAGGTGCAACGACCGGCGATAGAACTGGTGGAGAGTCTTAGGGCTCTGTCATATCCGGAAAAACTGATCAAACTCAGCTGATTTCCTCTATCTTATAGACAAATGAAGTGCAATCACCTCTAGACCATCCGTATTATTCGCCGATGTGATTGACTGCTTAAGTTTAAAGTCTTAGTGTTTGCAAATATGAGTCATCTGTGCGGTCATCCGTGCACTGTCAAACGTGACCATACGCGTCTAGACCAACGAAAGTTTTCTCTCGGTCACCGGTAGTTCGACTGTGGAACTCCCTCCCAAGCGATATACCGACTTTTGATACCATAGCCTTGTTTAAAGGGCAGTTAAACTGTTCAATTTGGGCAGCCAACGACATTTACTGCCGAATTATCCACTACCGACCGCGGACTCTGATCTCATTGTATGCTTATCGCAGTACTACACATTTGGTGCGAAATGTTCCCGTCAGTCTTATTTATTTATAAGGTTGACGGACACATTTCGCATTAAACGTATAGTACTGCGATAAGCATACTGACTGTATGCAGTTGCATTTATAATCTCAACCGTCCGTAATCCTTAAATGCCTGCATACAGTAGATATGCTATCCCATGAAATGTTGACTGAGATTTTAAAATATGTTTTTAAGTTGGAAAGGTTATTTTAGTATGGTTGTAGTAACTATTAGGCCGCACGGTGTTAAGATATTCCAGTCATGCCAGGAGGCCGACTTTCGAATGAGCTTCCCATCAACCGCTCGGACAGACTATATTCCGTGCAAAATTTCCACTAAAGAAGCATAAAATCAAGTTCTACAGATGTGCAGCGTTGCAACGTATACGGTTTCAGATTACTCAGCGGTTCTTTTGAACCCAAACAAAGTGGGGCGAAAGAGGATACAAACAAGTAAACAATTGGCAGACGCGGCAGAAGATCAATAAAATGTCGCGGAAAAAGTTTTGCACCGGGACGAGTCGGAACGATTTAAAGGTTGTGGGAGAGAACTAAAGAGAAAGGACAGAAAGAAAACAGGGCGAAGTTTGAAACAGACACTCCAAATTCTTTAGAAAAAAATGAGAAAATTTTAAGGTAGATCAGTGTGAATATTGCGGCGAATTATTTAATTTCAATCTCCCATGAAAGTAAAAAGTAAAAATGCAAGTTGTAACAATTTGGGAAAGCGGAAAGCGGACATTTAAATGCCATAATGATTTTCTCTTTATAACAGCTGTACAAAAATATAAGCATGAAGTGCATGCTAGGCTATATACTGGACTGGAAACGAAGCGCTCCAGTGTCTGCCAGTAGATAGAGACATCTTGAAAACTAAAAAGTATTAGCAGACCGGCTATACTTTGACCTGTCATCACATCCACAGTGAATCAATTCGCCACTTTGACATTGAGCACATACAGTCGTTTGACAGCCCTGCTTGAATGCTATGAGCTTGGTTCGTGAATACAAATACAAACCAAATTACTTAAAGGGGTGTTCGTGGAGGTGCAGGGTATGTTCCTTTGTAAGGATGAATCAGCACATACCTATCCAATACGAAAAAATATCTATTGCTCCCCGACGACATCTACGCACAGACCTCTCTGAACCTCGGTAGGAACTTTAATCCTTTCGAGACTCCGAATTTATCAAACGAGCTCTGTGTATTCTTGCCAAGACTTAGATGTTGCCTTAGAGCAGTATTAGTGATGCGACTGCGCAAAGATTATGCCAGCACAATTATGTCCTCTTCGACGAGTGTTTAAACTCACCTTCCAATAAAAAGAGCTTTTCGCGTGCTTTCACGGCTGCTCCTAAGTCTTTTTTCGTCGACATCCATTCGGCAGTCTTGTCATTCGCCAAATATGCGTTAGAACTGACATATGGCGAGATGGTATAGGCAAAATTTTATATGCACATACAGACTATTCTCAGGACCTTGGGGCACTTGTGCACTTTGTACAATGCCTGATGATACCTGGCAGGCTAGAAATCTTCTTGGGGAGAAACAAAATCCTATGTTAAGTCAATCAGTTTTCTGTTCTCAGCGTACAAGAGGCAGCAATCCTAACCTACCTCAGGCGGCCCGTTCACATAGATTAAGAAATTCAACATGCATAACACAGAACAAAGATTAATCCTACCGTGGACTGGAAATTCAGCCGACCTTCTTATTCCTAAGGTGCAAATGCAAAGGCGTATTGGGGGAAGTCCTCTAACCCAATCAACTATCCCATTTGTTAAATCATAGGACTTAAAGTTTTCTACAGGTGACAGATGACTATCCGTCTCGAAAAATTGACCGAGCTCGAGGAATACATTGTCGACAAAATCATGCTAATCAGGCTTCGATAAAGTATTTGCAATGTAATTAGGCTGTTCATGAAAGAGGACCTCAGGCTAACAAATTCATGCTCAATTAGGAGTGAAAACTATGATGCTTTTCCAGGAAAGAGTGAAGTATGTGACCTTACTCGTGAAACTTGATGGCAGACATTGAGATAATTACTTTTAGGCAGGTAAACGTTGTGTATTTTATGTATCTTCTTTAAAGTCCTCCCCATTGTCTTTAAGACGATAATGACGAGACCAGCAAGACGATAGTTTGCCTCCGACCCCCGAGATCTTTCTTCCGAAACTGGATCGGCTAAAACCTTGTTACGGTCTTCTGGAACGCTGACCATTCTGCAGTTGGAGGTGAACACACTGCGTAGGTCTCCGATTAGGACTGAGGCAATGAACATAAAAAGTTGTGTGGAACGAGATCTCAGAGTAGCCCCCGGCTCCAGGTGTCATGTAGACCAGCTGATGCAATAAGCATATTACCTGATCGGTGTGGGGATATTGATGGGACATTTAGCATACGTATTTACTCGTCCATACGAAAAGCCTGGGTCTGTTGCTCAACCAGTGGGAAAGCACTTCTTCTTCCATTTCCCCGTAGATCGGTCGCCCATTAACAGAACAGTGATAAACTCACTTATGGCTGTCGTTTTTGGTGGTGTCCTTGCTTACCAGAATGTCAGGAACTGTTCCCCCTCGTGCCAATTCCTCCTAGTTGATGGCTGTATATGCAAATGAAGTCAAAGTGCAGTTGAAATTGACGAGTTTGTTTTAGGTTTTTTTCCTGAGTTCAAAGGGGACTGACAGTGCCCAAGGGGCGCTACAATAAACCTATTCTATTCTATTTAGGCGTTTCCTGACGTCGTAAACGACAATAGAGGCATGAGCAGTGAAATTGTGCATGGGAGAGCGAAGACAGGGTGAGATCGAATCTGGAGAATTCACCCAAGACACTTTAGTGCATTCACAATCATAATAAATCCGACCTACGTCAATCTATTACGACGCCATCAAAAAACGTGACTTGAAGGGTTGCAAACTGACAAGACAACTTTGTCCTCGCAGTCAGTACTGTGCATTTGTGTGGGCTGACCGGCTCGGGGACTGACGGTCAGGTTCAGTGGCTCCTTCTGAATGTGGCTTCTATGACATTCCAACGCCTGTGAGCTCCGAGCCGCCCGCATTTTTTGTGAAAACCTGACGCACTGCGCAGGCGCCAGGTCGTGTGAGGCACGCGTAAGCTTGCCTTTCAACTCGATCAACCACTGCGTCCGAGTCAACGTCAGGCCGTCCTAAATCTGCACTGCCATCGGGCACAGGTGGGTGGGGAAGGGAAGAGTGCGCTAGATACTTCGCAGGTCTGGTATCATGTAAATTAATTTACATGGAGGTCACCATCCCGCGCCCACCGCGTCTTGGGGTCGAATTATCACGCTCACTGTCAGCACACCCAGTATTTTCGTCAAATAATGCGGCCAAAGTACCGCACTGCACTTATGTCGCATAATTTTATGTGTTACAAGATAACCGATTTTAAAAATCTGCATCTTTCCTTATAAGATGACGTCCAGGGGTGGACCTTTTTTCCGCTGAATCTGCGTATTGACGGCTATGACTTTCACAGTTGGTGAGGTTCCGCTAGCTGGGCCGCAACTTTGCATCATTGGATCTGGACAGACCAATCATCCTTATTCTGGATGTTTGCGTTTACGGAGAGCCGTGGGGCATTTTTCAACTTCGTACTTTGAAAGTCGGAGAGGGATAAAAAGCGGACAGTATTTGAAATTCGTCCGGATTACAGCATAAAGGTATGAGGTCTCAAAAGAATCAACTGTACCCCGCATACTATGTTTCGCAATTCTTGTAACAACTGTCGCCAGGAGTAACTACTTGGACTTCCCTTATAAGATAGGTCATTCCTGATTATTTATCTAAAAATATGTTGACATAAAATTAAGCGTAAGTTGAACAGAAACCAGATCAACCTACAGATACAATATACTTACGCTTTTGTATTCACACTGTCAGTAACAGTCGCATCCCCCTTATTGCAACTGCTCTTCGAAATTGCCACGTCCGTGTCTTTCTCATCAACTCTCTTTCCGGTATTGTTCCTTGGAAATATGGATCGCTGGAATATTTTCCTTCATGGTTAAAGACACCTTAACTGCGTTATTTAAAATTAGGACTTCTCAGGCGGACTAAGTCTGCCAAGATATTTATAATGAGCTATTTGTTGAATCAATGAAGTTCGTTTAAGTTATGCTGAAGTTGCACAATGATTGGTGGCTGAAGGCTTAAAAAACTTCTCTATCATGAGAATTTTTTTATCTATTTAATGCAAATCTAAGATCCTCTAAGTAGACAAGAATCTTCTGGTTATCTTAGTCAACATTAGATTCTGAGCAAGTCTGCGGATGACTTCGAATTAAATAATCCAATGAGGACCTAAAGTACAAACAACTGTCATTAATCCTCTTTAATAGAGGCACAGTAGCAGGACAGGGCATTGATTCACTTCATCGCCTCACTAAAGGTATCAAAAACTCCAAGGTGTTGATTGTTCGACACTATTCCATCTCTTCATTGAGTAGCGTGTTTGGGTTGTAAGATAGTTCTTTGAAATGGTAAAGTGTTTTCATTGATACTTTAAGAAGCTGGCACTGCGCGGAGACCCAACAAACAGCGCACGAGCCGTAGTCTTTAACTGGAAAAAAACGTCTGCAGATAAATTTGCGAAGACCCTTTATCGTCTACTTGAAAACCTAGTAGCCGACACAGGCCGGAGGTCGAACGAAATGTTTTTGAACAAGCCAAAAGGGCTCTTTGCTCCCCATCTGTCCTGATTCATTGTGACCGCGAAAAACCTATCATATTAAGATGCGATGTATCCTCGTACGACGTGGGTTCGATTCACCGATGCATCGAATACATGTTGGTGCTGAAATGTCGATTGTCTTAGCATCTTGAATTATGCCCCAGGCGGAAACCAACGATTCGCAACTAGACAAAGAGGCCTTAGCAATAATGCTTGGCCTACAACGCTTCCACCTGCATCTTTATGGTCGATTATTCGAGATTCACGTTGATCACAAACTTCTCTTAGGTGAAAAACGTGGGATGCAACAAATGTCCTCGTCGAAAACACAGAGGTGGGCATTTACTCTTTCCGCTTACATGTACGCAAAGAAATACGCTAAGAGTAGTGCAAACAGTGGCTGATGCCTTCAGTAGGCTTCCCATTATAGACGATGTTGCTAGCAGGTCATCTGCTTTCGAGGTCGCGAATCTCTCGCAGAACTTAGTCAACGACCCGTAAACTGCCAACAAATGGGACAACAGGCATTGTGAGATCCTCATTTAATTCGAACAAAAAGGTCACTGCGATTTGGCTGGCTATCCTCTGTCTCTCTTGATTTTCAGCCATTCTACAGTCGTCAGAACGGACCGAGTCTACAAGACGGGTGCGTGCTGTAGGCAATCGTGTAGTTGTGCCACCACAAGGTCGACAGACTATCCTCAGAGACCTGCATAATGCTCATCATGCTACAATTAGCATGAAAACTCTCACCCACAGCCATTTTTAGTAGAATGAATTGACACAGATATCGATGAAATGGCAAAAGCTTATCCGTGTGTCAAATACCACAGAAGACTTTGCCCCTGAAGGCGTGGGTCTGGTCCGACTCGTTGTGGAAGAGGGCATAGATTATTTTAGACCATCCCATAGCCAGGAGGTTTGATGGCAATTGACAATCACAAAAAATGAATTGAGACTATCCCTGCCTGAACTTCCTGTTCTTCGATGAGTACAATCAGCAAGTTAAGATTCGTTTTTTACACCTTTGGAATACTTGAAAGGGTCGTTTTAGACAATGGTCCGGCCTTCACTGGTTCAGAATTTAAAGAATTTGTGGCGAAAATTGGAGATAAGCGCTTGACCACCGCTTCATACCATGCAGTTTCAAATGTCCTCCCGGAGCAAGCAGTTCATCCAATAAGGCACGGATTAGCTAACCAGACGCAGGTAGACCTACTCAAAAAGTTGTCACGCTTTTTGCTAAGCTGCTGCATAATACCAAATGACTCAACCGGTTCATCGCCTGCAAAATTTATGTTCAAGCGGCAGTTGCACACACGACTCGGTCTGCTTAATTATTAAACGCAGGATAAAGTTGTCGAAAAACAGACAAAGACGCAATGTACCGTGTACCCCCAACCTCGAAACTTCGCGCCTGACGAAAACTTCCGTATATGATTGGAACGCGAAGAGAACTGGTGTCCAGTGGTAGTTGAAAGAAGTGAGGGACAAATAGTGGGATTATCGTTAGGTGCTCGGCCCATCGTCGTAGAATTTTTGCCTTCTCGGTGAGTAGGATACTTCCGTCAGCGCTGATAATAGAAGCAGGGCCGTTGGTTGGCAGACCGTAGACAGCCTTGATCGCGGATAAGAACTTCTTCCATTCGTTGCGGTCCGCGTATCCTTGGATCCCTTCGGCCTTGCGAGCCGTCCAGGCGTCCTGCATCTCGCGCAGCCGCTGTTGTACAAGGTGAAGACTACGGTTGAAAGCAGCTCCGTTGTCGTCGGTTGGGCGGTCCACGTAGGCTTTGTGCAGGCGGTTCTTCTCGGCGAGCAGGTCGATGATGGCGTCGTCGTTGTCATCGAACCAGTCCTGATTTTGGCGGCGTGCGCGACCGAGGACGACCAGGACCATCGACTGGACTGCGTCCCGCAGTTGACACCATCTGTCCTCCACGGGGGCGTTGTCATCAGTGGCGGCGGTGACGACGACATCAACGACTGGAAGGTTGACTAGTCGTTGAGCTAGCTCGCTGCTGCAATGGAGATGATGAGCAGGCAAAGGGCCTCCGTTTATCGTTCGTCACACGCCTGCACACAAGCAGGTACAACTGTCCGCCTCCCTAACTACTGACCCTGACAAAGACCAACAGCGGATTCTTTTGTGAGTGAGCATTGGTTGAGAAGTTTGCGCATGTAATCGGTAGGGTCCATGCAGTTTGGGAATGTGTGAAGAAAATGTGAACTTAGGCAATGGGCGATACTTTAGTGATCTTTGCCGCATACGCGCATTTGATCCGTTAGGTCCATACGGCGGCGAAGGATGCGGACGCAGTGTGGGCTGGAGAGGCCTATGTGAAATGTCTTGGCTGGGGCTGCGGGCACTGATTATCCGCCCACGCTGTGAGGGATGGCGGTTGTCCTCTATGTCTCCCGCACCGGTGCCCTATTGGGGCGACGAGGCGTCACAGTAATGAGGTGTCCAACGAGTCCAACCCGGCGGCTTGAATGCGCGTTGACAGCTGACATACAAATGTGACGTTAAAGCACAAGACTGAATCCGATGTTTTTATCTATTTGCCGATAAAAGTATAACAAAGGAAATTTTTGGAAGGTGCCTGAGAAGGAGAGAGTGCGGCAGATGCTGTGAAAGCCTACTATCACTATAAACTAATTCACGCGCATTTTACCGTCCCTGCTCCCACGCTGCTGTGGAGCACACGGTGGACATCGTCGAAATCGACGGTCGAAATGTCGTCATATTCGCCACCAGTATACTTACGTGGAGTTCCCGGCTCACGTGTATAGCAGATGCGTGCGTTAACTTCCCAGCCGAACGTAATGCCGTCCAACAGGGTCTCCATTGAACTATCTCGAGTTGGTTATTTTGACCTCCTGAAAATCCAGTTTATGTACTGGTAAAAGTGCTACTTGCAGGTTTCGGCTTGTTTGGCGGAGGAATTACATATATCTCTTGTATGGAAGCATTTAGGTTTCCACTAATGTGTCTTAAGCCACACTGGGTATGTTCACTGGCAACTCTTGCAATGGGTTTAAATACCGTTTGTCAATTTTTTTCCGAAAGCGTCATAGCAGGTTGCTTGCTTTCTTCTTCGTTGTTGTAATTTTTAAATATTCTGCTTAGCTGGTGGAAAGTTGGCAACATTGCTAACTGTTGAAAAGCATCACTTATAACCGTGGCACTCAGTGTTCCATGAAAGTCAACCGCTTCCTCCTGTTTCTCCTGAAGAGACATTTTTCCTGCTTCTGGAATTAATTTTCAGGTCCTCCTTGTCATTGAACTTTAAAAACAAAGGTCATGCCAGCCGCTCTGGTTTTACGTGCAAAACACTGCAATGCTTATGCGTCATTCAAGATAATTTTGCAAAAACAGCAGCCTTAAAGCATGGTTAGTACCCTGCCCACCACCTGCTTAGCGTGCAGGTGCCTTTCTGGCCCATTGGGGGAGGGGGCGGAGCAAGGACGAGGGTACACGGTTCATAGAACGAGAAATTTCCTCAAACGATTGTGACTGGTCGTCAGATGTATCTTCAGGTAGCTTTGGTTTTTTTTATTGAACCACAAAACGCAAGAAGCCCAAATCCGAAAACATATCTATAGGACAGTGTATAAGTTTACAGCCACGACAGTCCGGATCTAGGATCGAATGTTTGAAAGCGGAAGTTGGAAGTCAAACACCCTCTCGAATGTGAATGCATCCCATAAGCCAGGGGCAGCCGGAGTACAGTTCTGGGAATAACTACAAAGACACCTTCATTTGTGCCCTAAGTCTCCAACAGAAAAGGTAGCATAAACTATTTACTGCCAACGACATAATAACACAAGTAGCTGGGGTCATGGCAAGGAAAATTAGGTAAAGTGTAGCTATGGGGACACTTTCACCACCTGCTGACCATTTCACAGTAGAACTCATGTCCTGAACTGTGAGTGATGCTCATTTGTAGTTGCCCGTCTTGCCTCTTCAACGACCACGCCGGAGTTGCGCTCAGATGCAGACGAGCATAGCAATGTTTACCGAGCTCTAACAGAGGATGCACCATAATCCTGCCTACTGAGAGACTATGGTTGCTGTCCAGGCGCGATGTGACGTTCACACCCGACCTCGAACCTCCGCATCAAACGAAAATGGCCATACGTGACTGGAACGCGAAGAGAACTGGTGCCCAGCAGTAGTTGAAAGGAGAGAGGAACAAATAGGGGAATTAGCGTTATATGAGAGAACTGTGTGCCGACATCTGGTCTAAGTCTGCAGCCGCACCGACTCAAAAAGGGAAAAATTCGAGAAGTCCGAATCATTAACAGAAAACCTACTGCCTACACAGAACAGCACGCCGCCAACTGAGGTCTATGTACCCCATCTTCCTACTACCACGACCACCATTAACTTAGGGATCGAGGAACCACTGACTTCACAAGGTGGCATATGGGATGGAGGTTTCGCCTCGAGGCGATCGACCCGAGTCCACAAACCCGCCCAACTTTTTCAGGACGAAATTCATTGGAGCATTTGTCAACTATTAATTATTGCCTTTACCGTTTCCTCCCCCTTTCCGATACAGTCCACTTCAGGGCTGAGGGCTACACTATATGCTGTCAGCACTGTTTAGACATTGGGCCAGATGCACGTGAAAAGCAAACGGTCAGGTCACGGGTGCGTGTTCAGGCCTCCTATATGCTGATTGGCCACCCTTCAGCCTATGACATTTCCTCCATGTACTCATAAATACTGTGAGGCATCACACAAAACCTGCCTCCGACGATGGAAGATTGTTGCCTTTTGGAACGTCAGGCTATTAAGCCTATGGTTCCCGTGATCGCTTTTCCTTCTCACATATCTATATATGGATGCAGGCGAAAATGCTGGCCCCAGGTGTTAAGATGGAAGAAGAGGATGGTTTATTCATCTGAAGTTTCACACTCATACTTGTGTCTTTCATCGGAGATGAATTAACAATGAAAATACATGACTTAAATAGGTCTTACTCACTACCCATTGGTACATTGTCCTCTCTTTCTATTGGCCCTCCCTTGCTGCCTAAGTAGTGTCTGATAGCCTCGTATGGCGCCGGTAGGTCGATCCTACGTTGATTGAGTTGGTGTTGGATTGTCAGGCTTCGATTATCTTTCCCGCCATTTTGCTTTCAGCTCGACCGACTACTTCTGCCTTGTCGAAGCCGAACTGATTGTTATTTTCGAGGCTATGCATAGCAACATGTGATCGTACATCTTTTCGCTTTACAGCTAGAGCATGCCCATGCATGCGCGACCTTAATCGTTTGTCTAGACAGTTGACGTGGTAAACACTTCCTGACGTGTCCTCAGGTGGTAGCCGCCCTTTGGGTTGCATGAGCAAGCGGCGGATAGTGACCTCCGGCCGATGTTCAAGGCCCACGTTGAATGGTCTGAGCATGCGTTCAGTGGCTTCGGAAACGTCACTCACGTAGGACAAAGCACAGAAGATTTCAGGTTTTTGTTTTTGTCCACCGTCGGACCTCGTGAGCCTTTGATACAGGCATTTGTTTATGAGGCTACATGGGTACCCATTGGAGAGAAAGAGACTCCATAGGGACTTACGCTCTCGCAGCGTTCCAGCTTCTGTGCTGCAGCGTGTGTTGATACGTAGGAAGAGTGTCCGCACGCAACTGCGTTTATGCGACAAGGAATAGTTACTGCTGTAACGGAGGATTTTCGCCGTTTTTGTCGACTTTCGAAAGACACCAGTCTGGAGGGTTCCGTCTTCCTGTCTCGACACCTGGACATCCAGAAGGGGGATTTCTCCGTCCTTTCTTCCTCCATTGGGAACTGAATTTGGGAGAAAATTGAGTTCAATTTCCTTTTGAAGGTCTCTCTCGCGTCTCGACGTAGGAAAACAAAGGTGTCATCCACGTAGCACATCCAGAATTTTGGTATGTAGGGCTGAAAGACCCGTGTTTCCAGTCCTTGCAGAACCGCCTCAGCTAGGTAGCTGGAGCTTGGTGTTCCCATCGGGGTTCCCTGGATTTGCTCGTACACATGATCATTAAAGGTGAAGTAGATGCTCAAACAGTAGTCCAGTAGCTCCATTATGTGCTTCTTTTTCAGAATTGTTTCCTCTTCATCGTACCTTCTCTCCAGTAGGTCACTTATGACCTTCGTGGCCAATATCTAAGAACGATTGGCGACAGATGAAACCACAAGATGCTGCCATAGCACGCTTTTACGGACTGTCAAAGATCCACAAAACAAAGGTTTCCTTGCGGCCAATTGCGGCGCTAAAAGGCACACCCACCTACGCTCTAACTAAATGACTTACCAAACATCTGAAGTAGCTGACGGAGGACTCAGAACACACAGCTGTATCCCCAACACACTTCCGGAAAGACTCAGAGGCGTCAAAATAGCCCCCGACGAAATAATGCTGTCCTTCGATGTTGTCTCTCTTTTCAATTCCATCCCTAAAGAATTTGCCACGAAGGTCATAAGTGACCTACTGGAGAGAAGGTACGATGAAGAGAAAAGGCCTCCGAAAAAGAAGCACATAATGGAGCTACTGGACTATTGCTTGAACACGGTTTACCGGAAGGCGACGAATACCTCTCGTATTCTGAGTTTTCTCAACAGTCATTCCCTTTCGCACAAACGTAGCTGCATAAGAACATTCTACCGGCATGTAAAAATCCATTGCACCGCGCCAGCCGACAAGAAGGCCGACGTTCAATTCCTGAGAAAACTCTTCACCATGAACGGCTACCCCGGGAATTTCGTCGAAAAGTGCAGGCAAGAAACCCGAGGGAGAAAAACCGAGGGGGCAGCCGAAACCGAAGTGCTGGCGTGCAGTTCTGTACATAGGTCGTTTGTCAGAAGAATTCGCCAGACTGGTGAGCGAATTTGCGATCGGCGTCGCTCACAGACCTGAAGCAACAATCCGCCGGCAATTCATGTACCCCAAGGACCCGATCCCCAGAAATGGAGGGTCATTTACCGGATAGACTGCAAGTGCTGTCAGGCCAGTTATGTTGGTGAAACCCGCAAACAGGTTCGCACGAGATTGCACGAGCATGAATTGGCTGTGAGACGGAGGGATAAACTCTCCTTGGTAGCCGCCCACGCCTCCTCGCCAGGGCATGCCTTCTGACTTCGGAGGCGTGAGAGGACTGGGGCAGTCAGACGACCGAGTTGCGCGCCTGCTGCAGGAAGCGTGACAATCGCTTGTCAAAAAGTACGTAAACGAATCACCACCGCAGCTAGAGGTCATCACCGGCAGACGTGACTAAATATACGATGAGTTGTACAGTATTTTCATCCCTTGACGATGGGCTCGCGTGAGAGTTCGAAACGTCGGAGAAATAAACCATTGGTCCCAGCGATCGCCTTCCCGTCTTCTGTGCAATTACCTGTGTCGCGCCTATTCTCTATCATTTGGAATATATACCGATATGCATGGCGAAACAGGCAAACACATTGGCAAAAGATTACATGAACACCAAGTTGTCTTTGATCTATGGCCGGATACGACAGTTGAACCACAGTTCTGCCTTTGAGAAGACAAGGGTGATCGGCCGAGCCGGTGGGAAGATGACCATATTGGTGCTTGAAAGTTGGTCCTCGACCGGCACAATCAACCAAGCCATGGATCAGCATCCCGCCTACCAGGCGTTACGTACAAGGCTAGGATCAGTTGGGACAAAGTCAATAGGACAGGCGAGCACGCGGAGCCGAGAGCCGATGCTCATGGAAAAGAGGGGAGGTGGCGGCCAGAGGTCACATGCCCAAAGTCGAAAAATTCCTCACTGATGCGCCCGCGAGGCTGAAAGCATCTCACGTGAACGGCAACGACTCATCAGTCCGCCAGCTGACGTGAGGGAGGTCAACAGGCGGGATGGTCTGGCTATAACTACGCCAGTCCCAAAGGGAATAAAGGTTACGTGGGCCCACCAGCGGTCAGCCTCTGGGAGGTCAGAACCAGGCAGCGGAAAACGGGCAGGTCAAGGTTCGTGCGTCGGGCACGGCTAGGATACGAGGCAAACAGCAAGGCTGAACAACTCAAGACCAGCAGGAGCAACAGGCGCACCACTCTCATTGTGGAGATGAGGAAGTTCCCGAAACGCCAGTACAACTAGTACTTGGTCCATGACTTCGCCTTCTCTCATTCTTCGTCTTCTTCGGGAGATGATGAACGCGATAAGACATCTGGACCTCATGAGCCGGAGCACGTTTGCCCGCGTACTTTCAAACAACTCTCTATGTGTGACAACTAACCACCACTACAAAACTGTACATCCTCAGATCCCTGTGACAACAGTATTTAACGATGATTATTGTCACTCTGACTTATTACTGACCGAAGCTCACCAGTCTGTGACTGCATGGAGTGGGGCGTTGTTTCTACAAATTGCTCCAACTCACCCTGGCGTGGCGTAACCAACAATGTGGAGTGCAGCTGCTGTCGCTCTACGTGCAACAATTATCGATCCTCTTTGCCTACTGCTCCATTACTTCTTGATGTTCTGTTCAGATAACATTTGATTAGCATACAATGCCAATGTTGTACTCTATCGGTGATCACCTTTAAATTTGCCAGCTGCTATTCTGAGAGGCTACGATGAATAGGCACCCTGGTGGGAAACCTGCTGCAGCGTATCCTACTGCAAAGCACAAAAAAACATTGTCATAAAACATAACAAGTATCACTGCGAAACGTTAGCTGTAAATACATAATGTCATTTTAATTACTATCCTTGAAACACGTGCAAATTTTATTGCAGAACGGGCCGCCGTTTTCGTTCGGACAGTAACAAAACAAAAACGCGTTATCTGCCACCGTGTGAAATAAACTAATAATGTATAAACCTTTCACCTCCCCGTTTGACACGATGGCTGCATTTCCGAAAGTGCAAACTTTACTGTCCAATGGTAGGTTTCCCAGTAGGGGTGGCGAATGAAGTATCCCGCAGACGAGCCTGTTACGGCTCTGCATCTCTGGGCCAAATGTGTATCCGAAAGACCCATATTTGGTTGACTATTTTTTCTCTCTAAAGTCTGGGTTCGTCTTCCACCTTCTTAAACTTGGTCGGATTTACTGGGAGGCAGGGCTAAGTCACACCTTTTCGAGATGGAGACTGAATTCAGACGAATAGGCAACAGAAAAGAAAATATTCGAAGCGGCATAATGGCAGAATGAAACCCAATGGTATACTTGGGTGCTTGGTTTATCGGATTGCTTATAAATTTTCGAGACATCTTGCTTCAGCACAGTCACCTGGTTTGTTTATTCGTGACTTCCTCCTCTAACTTTTTCTCAATGTTTGTCCCCTAACAGCAAATCGAAGATGTCAAGATGACTAGCTTATTGGCCGTCCACGGTTGCTATGTCACAGTGCTGTCTTGGTGATTTGTGTTATTTCATAGGGCAGTCCATGTGCCAGACTTCAGCCCTCGGCTTTCTGCCAACACTGTCTCTGCTGGTCTGTGGTTGCTTATCTACCAGTGACAGACATCTCTTTATCCCGCAGTTAGGCCTCACTGAAGGCCATTCCACCATTCGCTAACCTCGGATGTGTTGGGTGGCCAGCATTTAGGTCAACAAGCAGGCCCCGTCTTCCTTAAAGTGGCCGAGTCGGTAACGTCTCTGCAGCGGCAGCGGCGGCAATGACGACGACGACGAGTGCCCAGTTCTCAATTATCGGAGCAGCTGCGGCGACCGAGCTGCCCTGTACCGCGCGTGCGTAGATTCTAACTGTAGTGCATATACACTGGCATTTCTGGACTACCCATCCACCTTTAACGCAACCCTTGAGCAGATTCCTATGAAAAACATCTCAATGGGGTCTCCTGAAGGGTTGAGCTCTGTTTTTTTATTACTTTGATTTCTGCAGTCCACTGTTTCATTCCCTATTAATTGCGTATTTCTTTATCAGTCTTCCCTTTTGCTCGACCTTTTCTCCGTTTTCTTTCAAGCCATAAAACCGCTCTGCAGTCGGACAGGTTAATGATATTTTCGTTGTTCAGCCCGCCAAAGGGGACCCCTGAGGCTAACTCGTTAAACAGCAAAACCGTTCACGGAAGTGGAGTACGAAGTCCAACATAAATAGTGACTCAGAGCTCTTTGGTCGTTGTTAGGGGCTGCATCTTACTTTCAACTCCGTTTCGTTTGTAAATTTGCCGTTCAATCCAGCATTTCCTAAAGTCAGTAACTTGGAAACTTCATTGAGTTCCCAATAAGAGAACCAACTGCAGATTTCAATGGATTCTTCCTAGCAGTCCAACCAGCAAGCTTTAGGCCCAACTCCTGAAGGAGGCATTCACTTAATTAATGGTCAAGCCCGTTTTAATTTTCCATCGCTCGACACCTAGCCCACGTCGTCATCCTAATTTTCTGAGGCTTACAAAGAAGGCGAACTTTGGTACTAATTAAGTGATAAAGCGAACGGGCAGTCTTCTGACCACTGATATAACTTTCTCCACAGTGACTTTTTAACGCTGTGCATTCCCAACCCATTTGACAACGTACCTTCCTGTGTTGTGAGTAACCAATTCAATTCAGGCGCCCTCCCAGAAAGTGCGACAAACAGAAAGTGTGGACAAAACAGAAGCTAAAGTTTCCTCGACTGCTGACATCTGCTCATCTAGCTGAAGGTTGGTGCTGCACCGGAAGCCCCAATTTACTTGCCTAAGATGTGGACGTCTGCAGGAGTTCATTATCATCGATCAAAGAACAGCATCATGAGGCCCGATGTGAATGATGCCATATGGCGATTCAAAGGTAAGCGTCACAAGCCTGTGGGTGTTTACGCAGGACAGGATACGCAGGTGACCGACCGAACGCAACTGACCCACAGGGCTCATGTAGCAGATACAATTTTTGCTCAACCCACGGTTTGAGGGAATACCTTTACGGCGGCGTGCTCAAATCAGCGGCCCGCCCGATGATGCAAGAGCTACGCAGTCGCCTTGTATTCACACACCCCTGGCCCTAGTTACTGGCCGGTTTAGGCTGAAGTGTTACAATGTGGTGTGGGTCAAGGGCCCACGTGATCTTTCTTTTTCATGAGACGTTTGCACGTAGTGGCTTCTGGGAGGTGCGCAAGCCCAACCTCCTAGTTTCGCAAAAGCGCCTTCGCACGCCTCCGCTCAGACGAACAGTGCGATGGTTTTGATGCTTGACCAAGCTTTTAACGATAAAATACATCTGCGCACATCCATGTTTTCATGTTTGCCGTTAAGCATCTTGGTACTGTGCAAAGCGGATGACAGGGAATGGCCAATCAAGTTCATTTTGCTGTAGTCAGGCCCAGTTTCTGGCGCATCCGAGATGTGAAACAGGGTCCCGTGTGTCATTGTGCATTTAAGTCGAACATTATTACCACTTGAATTACCTAACTCAGGCTCTGTCATCTGCGATCGCGTGTATGCAGTTTTACACCGGGGTGGAGTTCGCCGATCAATCTAGATTACGGGACAGAAAGCGACAATTGCCTTTTTCCTTGGCGATCTGAGTCTACAGTTCACACAAGTGGCCTCATTGCGATTAACAGTCAATAATCAGACATTTTCACCGAAGAGGTGAGAAGTGAGACATCGTAACTGCGATCAAGGATGATCAGTGGGGGCCACCTTTACCGATCCAGCCTGAGTACTTTACAGGATACAAATGTCGGAGCCTGAGCCGCCCAGGTCTGGGGTATGGTAGACTGACAACGACGGGTAAATTAAAAATCTTCATTTCAACCTCTTTTCTCCCTTCGTTTGCAAAACCTCTCAAATACAATAGCTGTATAGGACAGTTGGAAATATAAATGGTGGGCGGATCTCAGCTTACTCAGCGGATTAATCGCATATTATTCCCAAAATGCGGACCTTGGTTCGTCATTATCGTATTAATTCCAAAATGCCGTTCTACGTGAAAATATTTTGACGTTTCCGAGTATTCAAATGAGGACCCAGTGAGTGGAGTCTTTTTGCCTAGGTAGAATTTGATCACTTTGATCACTCACACTCGTTGTGGATGCTCTCGCGTTCCATAGTAATCCACCGGATAATGTGATGATGATGCCTGGGCTCCAAAGAAGCGTGGACGCTCCCTGTCATCGTTAGAAATACTGTGGTACTCATCGTCTCTGCGTCTTCTACTTGCGCGTCCCTGTTCGGCTGTGAGATTGAGGAGAGTCCTAGGACAGAAGCACAGTCGTGCACGACCTGCTGCTTCGTTTTGGAAAACTAGCAGGACTTGTGGGTTCTTGAGTGTGTCCCTGAAGCTCCTTATAAGGCCACACTCCTAGTGGCGCCGACCCATCACAGCAGGTTTTCGCACTTTACTCCCACTCCACTATGAAGTAGGGTCTTCTGTGCTCCAGCCCTCATACCGCGTTCCTTGTAGCCTGAATATACACCCACATCTTCATTATGTTCAACTAGCCACCACGTTTCAGGCTTAACTGGTGACGGGTGTGACCGATTAAACTAACAGTATGCTCAATTAAAAAAACTACAATTAGTCGTTGACGGGGCTGACGAAAACACTTGAAGGCCAAAAAGCTCATAGAGAGAAACACGAGGCATTGCTGAGACGCTATGGCATGAGGAAGTACGATTTAACCTAGACGAAGTGGCAGTCCTCGATTTAACCGGAGACCATGCAGCACTTACAAAGAGGTGTATAACACCATCACGCTGAATAATTTTCAGTGGAACTGCTAGATGGACGTCTCCTTCTAGCCAGAACTGGTTGAAAACT